TAGGATGATGGTAAGGTAAAAAGAAAGGAATGTAAGCAAGAAAAGTTAAAGAGGGGGAGCAGAAAAGACATGGCAACTGATTGGATATAGGAGGTGAGTGAGAGGGGACTACACAGGGAAAGAAGTGAAAAGGGCTCAGAGAAAAGCTTGAAAGACTCATATGCAAAGGAGGTAGAGCAAGGGTGACAATCCTGCAAGGGGGACTCAGAAAGATATGTCAGATAGGGAAAGAAAGCAAGCTAAAGAAAAATCCCACCTCCAACTGAGTCAGTTACTCCTTTTAAAAATCCAGCCCAAACCATCCAGTCTGGCATGGGTCTGTAGTTTAAAGAACACTATTTTTGTAATCAAAGGGTCGAGAGTTTGAATCTCAGCCATACTCTTACTAGCTGCATCAATAAACAAACATCTATTAAGCACCTACCCTGTGCCAGGAACTGTGCGCCAAGTGCTATGTGAAAAACAGAGGTGTCAGAAAAGTGACTTGGCCCCAATGCACAGCTCCAAACCACATTAAAATGTAATCAGGAAATATTTAACAAAATAAAAATTTTCAATAGAATACAGAAAATGTTAATGTGGTTTTCTAAGTCAATATGTGGCCAGGAAGGATCCTTATGTATGGTTTAGTGGCTCTGTTTCTGAGTTTGACCAAAACCATCCTTCAATGAAAATAGTAAAAGTATATAACTTTCTTCTGCAATCCATTCTTGGGTCTTAAAGCTAAGAAATCTACTCTCAAGGCTCCAGTAATCACTGAAACACATGCAAATAACCTCCAAATTTATCTTTCTCATGAGCTCCAGTGCCACATTTCCATCTGTCTGTTGGATGTTAACATGATAGGACTAGCTGCCCTATTTCTCCTCCTGTAACATATCCTCTCATTCTTTTCCTTTTCTAGGTTTTCCCTTAACTAAATTTCAAGAACATTCAGGAGGGTTAGAGGGTAGGACTGGGTAATATTAGGGGTAAAGAGGAGAATATGATTTGATATGTGTGCCGAACTTTAAATCATCCTTTGTATAATGTAAACGTATAATTATTTATATATTGACAGTATTTGGCAACAGGCTTGAATGAAGTACGTCCCATAAAGCACGTGTGGAAGTGAACTGAGCTCCCCGGCCACTTCCAGGGACATATGCGCTTTTGCTCAGCGCTGAAGGATTTCCACTTTGGGATAATGAATGAATCAATCTCCTTACTGGTACTTTGGTTCCCATCTTCAAAGCAGGGAAGGGAGGCTATGTCAGAGATGACTGTCCATTTAGTAGCTGTGTGACCCTGGACAAGTCACTTAACCTCTTTTTTTTTTTTCTTAGTTTCACCAGCTGTTTCTAAGAGTTCCTCCTGCTCCTGGTGGCTACTTTGTACCCAGAAGGCTAGGAAGTAAGGTCAATAATCTGAGCCCTTAGTCCTCTGAGCCAACCAAGTCTAGAGGAAAGTCTCAATCCTTTTAGAGGAAAGACTAACCTAACCTGTATGGAGGTAAGGGTTAGGATATTAATCCTACCACTAAGGTGCTTTTTAATGATACGAGGGAAATGAAACTGTTTTTACATAATTATAGGAAAGGTGAATTCACCAGGAAAAAGGGAATCTGTTGACTAACTTGAGAGCAATCTGAAGTCTCTGTATGAAGAGGCCATTTCTTCAGTAAAGGCCTCTACAGGAATAAAACTTGGTATCATCTCCTTTCTGAGATTCTCAGGGAGGGTGTGGTTTTTGTGTTGGGTTAGGAAGGATGAGTGAGTTAATCTCAGTATCAATTTAGATCCCAGGACACATTGTAAGCAAAAAGTTTATGATCTTTTACTTAACTTGCTAAAATTGACCCTGACCCGTGGTGAGATTTGGAGATGGTGTCAGAGGAGTTGTCATTAAAGCTGTGGTCCCTGATATTCCTGATGCTGCTCCTTGTCATTTTATATGGGGAAAACTTTCATGAATTAGCCCTGATATTACCTCGATCGTATGCATTATACTTTTTAAAGGACCTTTTGAAGTAATTTATGTTTTTATCATTTGTATTACACTTCTCTTTTATGCTAGGCTTCTTCCTGAGGTCAGAAGTGCTTTAAAAATCATTTTAGTGGTGGAAGGTTCCTTAGAAAATTTTGGAGCATTGCTATCAAGGGGTGGGATATGGTAGGAGAAGCACTATTTACTATTTTTATGTAGACTGGGCTGGTTTTCTTCAAATGGTAAAGGGAGGGTGTTCTTGGATTTTGGTTGGCCTAATGGATTAGGTCTTGAATCACTGGTTTGGCTCCTTGCCAATCGAAGGATAAAAGACTCGGCCTATGAGAACTTGGTGCTAAGGAGGTTTGGTAGAATTTCTGCTGCCCAGAGGGGACATCTTTCTGGCTCAGCTTGGTCATTGCTATGCGGAATATGGAGGCAGAGGAGAGTAACAGTTTATCTTTGGTTATTAACTAGAAATTGAGAAGGTAGCCTGAAATGATGAAAAGTACATTAAGACTCAGAAGACATGCCTTTGAATCTTTGGCTCTACTACTTACTGGCTGAGTGACTTTAAGAAAAGTAATTTCTCTCTTCTGAGCCTCAATTTCCTCAAGCCTAAAATGAGGGGATTGGCCTAGATGATTGCTTATGCACCTTTCAAATCCAAATCTTATGATTATGACTTTCCCATGCTCACCCTGATCTCTCGATCACAAATCTAGTGCTATTCTCTATAGACACTGCCTCTCAAAGGGCTTTTGCAGTACTAACATTCTGCGCTTCTGTAAATAAAGTGGCTGTGAATGTTTCTGTGAATGCCAGTGCCTGGAGATTTCCTCCCTAGGATACAGTGTCACTCAATTTCTCTCAGTTTCAGTTTGCTTGTCTGTAAAATGGGCATAATAACATAGCCTTATCATAGGGTTGTTGTGAGGATCAAATGAGGAAATATGTGTAAAGTTCCATGATAATCTTAAAGAGCAATACAAATATCATTATTATTACACATTACCCCTACTAGTTACTTCTAAGCTTGAATCAATCCACTGATTTGATAGATTCTACCCTCTTCTGTTCTCTCTACACTCTCCCCTTGATCATCAGCTCACATGGATTTCATTACCACATCTATGCTGATGACTCACAGATCTGCATTTCCAATCTTGGTGTCTCTCTTGAGCTCCAGTTCTGTAACACTGGTCTCTGACTCAACATGTCCAAAATGGAATTCACTATCTTTCTACCTCAAATCCACCCCTCTTCTGAATTTTCCTATTAACCACCATCCTTCCAGTCACCAGGTTCACAATCTCAGTGTCATCCTTAACTACTTACTTTCATTCAACCCTCTGAAATTATCTTCAATTTATCCTGTATATGTTTGTATACAGCTATTTGTTCATCATCTCCCTCCTTAGATTCCAAGCTCCTGGTCAGAGATTGTCTTTCTTTGTATCCCCAATACTGACTACAACACTTGGCCCATAGCAGGTTGATTTGACTTGATCCAGTCACTTGCCAAAATTCGTTTTCACCTCCACAACACCTTTCCCCCTCCCCCTCTTCTGTCCACTGACAGCGACCTCCCAATTCAGGGCCTCATCACCTTTCACCTGGTTGCTATTGCAATAGCCTTCTATTTGGACTCTGCCTCAAATCTTTCACGTTTACAATCCATTCTTCACACTTCACGGTGCAGGCTGGTCAAACTGGCCTTTTGGCTGATCCTCACGTATGGCACTCTACTTCTAGTGGTCGAAATGAACTCCCTTCTCTCTGCTCTTACAATCCCCATTTTCCTTCAAGGTTCAGCTCATGCTCCATCTTCTGCAGACCTTTCCTGAATTCTCTTCCCTATCCCATCACCTTGCATTTATTTTGGAAATATCTACACATATACAGGACCTATCTCTAGACAGCCTGTAAGTTCCACGAGAGCAAAGGATTCTTTCATGGGGGTTTTTGTATTCTCAGTGTCAGGTACATAAGAGAAACTTAATATTCCTGGTTTGATACGGATCCCCCAGTTAGAGTCACCCCAAGTTTCTGCTCCCAACTCTTATCTCAGCTCTCCACGTGATAGAACTCGTGCAGAGATACTTCCTACCAGTGTGAGTCAAGCACAGATCAGATCCTGCCCTCTCTTTCTTTCCCAGGTCCCCACCTGAGGAGCTCACCAATGGGAATGCTGGGATCACGAAGGAAGCCACACTCTCCTCACCTGAGCTTTCTAACTGCATTGTCGGCTACATGCTCCACCTCGATCGTGCAGTAGTGATGCGCCCCAAATGTCTTTATTTGAGCTCTCTCAAGTTTTTTCTTATAATCCGCAGTGTAGTTCTCCACACAATTCCCCTAGCCCCATTTTACAGATGAAGAAACTGAGGTTTTAAAGTCATCATTTATTGAGCGCCTGCCACTGTGGTAAGAGCTGGGGAAACAAAAAAGCAAAAGGAAAAGTGATCGCTACAACTCGGTACGACTGGGAGCCCCTAGGGGTCCCGGGCAATGGCGCATGCGCACTGAGGCAGCTAGGTCGGGGGGCCTACTCGCGAGACAAGTAGGCGTAATTTCGAGGGGTGGGCACACGAGAGAGCGCACGCACTCACCTGCTTCCCCCCACGTCGTCACTCCCTCCTCGCCACTACGCCGCTTGGGGCGTGCTGACGCATCGTGCGGTGGAAGGAAGGGGCGGGGCTACAGTGCCCCCCCCTTCCACCCTCGGCCCGCCTCCTTTCCTCCCTCCCTCCTCCCCATCCCCTTTCCTCTCCTCCCTCTCCCCCTTCCCTCCCTCCCTCCCTCCCTCAGTCAGCCCCGTCAGCTCCGGGGAGCGAGCGTCGCGCAGCGTCGCGTCGGCCTGGTCCGACCCGACCAGCGGGCAGATGCCCCGAGCAGCCACCGTCGCCCGTGCCGCTACCGGTGTGGGAGGCGGGGGTCCGGCCCGGAGGGGCTGCGTGTGAGAGGGGGGGTGGGTGGGGGTGGGGAAGGGTCCGGGGAAGCAGGGCCGGCGACCCGGCGGCGCAGAGGCGGCGGCGGCGGCGGCGAAACAGCGGGGGCCGGTTCGGGGTGGACCATGTATTTCCTGAGCGGCTGGCCCAAGAGGCTGCTGTGCCCCATGGGGAGCCTGGCGGAGCCTCCCTTTCACATCCAGACCGACTCCCAGAGAACCTTCTTCGCCGTGCTGGCCCCGGCCCACCTCAGCATCTGGTACAGCCGAGTAAGTGCTGGAGGATCCCCCGCCGCCTGCCCGGTTCCTTTCCCTCCCCTCCCCCATTGTCTCCTCCCCCTCCCCCTCCGTCTCCTCCCCCTCCCCCTCCCCATTCCCAAATCCCTCCGCGGCCGGGACCCCTTCCTTTCGCCCGCCTGCCCCGGGACTAAGTACCTGTCCCTCGAACTTCTGAGCCCTCCCCTCGTGCTCCTCCTCCGCCTCCCGGGGATCTTCACTCCACCAACCCCCCCACGCCCCTGCCGTGACATTCCCCAAGCCCACGCATCTTGCCCTCCCCGCGTCGTAATTCTTCTCCCCGCGCACCTCCTGCCGTCATGTACCTGTTTAAAGGAGACTCAGGGAGACTCAGGGAAACTCCCCGTTGCCTGCTCCCCTTCCTGTCTACCTCCTCCAGCTGGGGGATGGGGTCGAGGGGGAGGGGGGCCGGAGAGGGACTATCCCAGGCTGGAGCTTTAAAAAAAAAAAAAGTGGTGGTTCTTTACAGTCCTCGAGCATGTCTGCTTTTAGGAAGGCTCCTTGGTGTCAGCTCAAGTTGCACCCCTGCCTGGGCTCCGACTGTGTGGTACAGAAAACATTGGCAAAATCCGTCAGAACTTTTTATTTTGTTACGGTTTAAAATAAATGTTTGGGGAGCATACACCGCCAGCTTTCCCCTGCAGTGGGACTGGAGTTGGGTTAGCCTAGATGGGTGATGGAATGTCAAATAACAAGCATTTTCTCTGGCATAACTTTGGTGCCGGAAAATTGTAGCTGATCCCCCCCCCCCTTTTTAAAGGGCTGGTTGATAAATTTGAGAATGTTTGAAGTTCCCTTTTCTCTGCGTCCACTTCTCTCCCCCTCTGACCTTTATCCTTGTAGATTCTTTTCCTAGAGGAGAGACGGGTAGGGACCGTGTTACTCCAATCATTGTTATATTCCTTAGTACTAGGAATAGACTTTTTTAAGGGAAAAGACTTTGTAAAGAAAGGCTATGTTCAAGTTATTTTTCCCATTTTCTGTGAATTTTAATCATGTTCTACTTATAGCTTATTGTCGTGGACAAATGAGAGTTAAGTTTGAAAATAAATCGTGCATGAGATTTTCCTCCCCCAATCTCCCAAGCTGCTATAGGGCTATTTTTTGAAATCTACTGAATGCAAAGAGTACTAAGAAATGTACCTTCTTTTTGTTTATAAAGAAGGTACTACTCACCTATGTCAGGGATGGTGTTTAGATGTTAAACTTTTTTTTTCTTTCTGAAGATAACTGGACTCTGGAGATTGGCTGTGACCTCATGTCATGTGACCATGTGAACCAACTGGCCCAATTAAGTTAATACCAGAAATCCCTCAATGGTACCATCTAAGTGTCTATAATGCCCTTGACTGTCTTCACAGTGTGGGGAAATTAGCTTTGGGATTTTGGTAATGCTGATACATTTCATGATTTGTTACATTAAATATATGTCTGATTAGTTTTTCAGTGAAATAACAGGATAAAGAATAGAAAATTTTTGAGATAGGACTATACTGAGCTTAATTGTGTTTGTGAATATGTATTTTTTGGTACATTTTATTATTGATTGAAGTACGCTAACCAGAGTTTACATTGTAAACATCAGTTTAAGTAGTTATATTGTTCATAGCACTTTGATTAACAATGATCTTTTGAGCATAGATTTAGGGCTGGAAGAGAAATTAGAATTTATTCATTCCAGTACTCTCATTAAATTCATGAAGAAACTGAGGCCCAGAAAGGTCCATGACTTAGCCAAAGTCACTTAGCTTTGGCACAATGGCAGAACAAATATTTGAAGCAAATTTTGACTCAGAATCGAACCCAGCCTCTATATCTTACCAAACATAGGCAAAAATAATAGTTTGGATTCAATTTTAAAAACAAACTTTTTGTCTAGAATTTTGCCAGAATATGATATATTGCCTTTGTAATAAATGGACAGCACTAGTTTGTTTCTTCTTCCTGTTAAAATACATGTCCAATTTACTATCATGTAAAACTAATATGAGGAGAGTACTGAACTGAAAGCCACTTTATCACACTCTACAATGGATAACATTCTAAGACTGTGGTCAGGATAATTCATTCCAACACACTTTTCATTAAACATTTCATAGTAATGCACAGTTAGTTTGGAAGAAAGATGCTATATAAACTCAGTAATCTAATACAGGCAAAAAAATTACAAACAAATCTCAGTCTCCTTCAGTAGTGGAGCCCCCAGATCGCTACTATGAGAGTCACTGTGAAAAATTTTGAAGATATTGTAGGATTTAAAGTGGAGGAAAAGAAGAAACCAAAAACTTTGGAAAAGGTGACTTTTTTTGGTAAGGGTGTCCAGGTGGCACCAGACAGACTTGCCTGTGTATTTACCATCTTGCACCACTATGTTTTTTCTTTTCCTTTGTTATACTATTTGAAATCATAAAGTAGAGTTTTACTTGGTTGTATTTTAGTTTAACCTGATGGCTTATAAAAATTGGTTTCATTTTACATTTAAATGTGTTTTTTTTGTATGGATTAGTGCATCATACTTCACTGAGGAAATGAGATGTTTGATTGAAAGGGGAAAGGAGGTAGATAATAATGGAGCAAAAAAGAAAAAAATTGGGCAGGTAGTAGATGGAAGGTATGAAGGGCAGGGTAGACCTACTTAAACTAACCTCCCAAGTGAGATTCTTACTTGGTAGATTTAAGGCAACTTGAGGTCTTATAAGGGCATCAGGAGGTATTAAAAAAAAAAGAGATGGGAGGGTACCAAAGACAAATATGGGTTCTTTGAAATCTAGGCCTGGTTATACACAGAAAAGAGACGGTTTTTTTCTCCTCTTTTCTCCTGGGCCATATTACTCATTCCTCTCAGGACCCAGAACTTCTGCGAGTACTGTAGGTAGTTCAGTTACATATGCTTTCATGGACCAACTTGTGAAGCTAACTATAATTTATAACATTGTTTCTGTGAAAAGAGTTTGTTCTAGTTCAGACCTCATCTGGACCCTCATTGCTACTTGGAAAGCCTATTCTACTTTTACTCACTACTTCTCTCGTTCCCAACAGCAACTGTTCCAGATCTTTTCCTCTATCAGTTCCTCAACCCCTAGATTATAACAGATGATTTAATCTCCTACTTCCCTGAGAAAATTAATCCATCAACTCCTCAGATTATCTCAGTGACATCACTTCTTTCATGTATCAGGGGCATAGTTATCCTCACTTTTTTGCAGAGGCTTATTCCTCAACTTGTGTTCTTGATCCCTGTTCCTTCTCTTCTTCTTAGATTTGTTCCTAGGAATTGTTCTTTCTCTTGTGTGTGTTCTTCTCCACTGGCTTTTTTCCTTTCACTATAAAAACATATTTAGGTATCCCTAATCCTTAAAAACCTTTCCCTCCTTCCTTCTACCCCATCTTAACTATGACTATAGCTGCTCATTCTCTATCTCGTTACTCTTTATGCAGCCATGTTTTCAACTTGAACTTTCCTTAGCAGTCTGTAATCTGGCAACTTGAGCTGCTGTACAGAAAGTATTTTCACAAAGCTCACCATGATTGCTGTATCTTGTGGCCTTTCTCAGCCCTCATCTGCCTTGACTCTTCTGCAGCATTTGACAGTGTTGATTGCCCCTTCCTTCTTCCTTGGTGTCATGATTATGATTTAGTTAAGTACAGTCAAATAATGCACAAAAGTGAACAGCTACCACACTTTCCTTGTTCTGTTACACTTTTGATTGTTCCTTCTTTTTCTTTCTCCTTGTCCATTTCCTAGTGCCTTGAAGTGGGTATTCAGTATTCTGCCTTTGGCACTCCTCTCTATAATCTTTCCCTTGGTAATCTTGCATGAGTTCATGGCTTTGGTTAGCACCTCTGTGTAGTTGCCTCTCAAATCTACAAGCCCTGATCTCTCTCCTGAGCTCTAGAGCTGTGTTTCCAGTCACCTTCAGGAGCTTCCCCTCTGGATGTTCCACTAGTATTTCAAACTCAACAAATAGAAAATTGAACTTATGATCTCTGTTCCAAAACCTTCCCTGCTTTCTGATTTCCTATTATTTCTGTCATTGGTGTCACCATTTCCCTAGACTCACATGTTTTAAAACATTAATTTTTTTAATACTTCTTTCTCCCTTCTTATTGAATTGTTACTGAATCTTGTTAGTTTTAACTCCAATATTACTAAGTCTTGAATTCCTTTCCCACTGCCACTATCCTAGCTAGCACAAGGCCTCACTATCACCTTGCCTAAACTATTGGAATAGCTTCTTATGGGCTCCATCTCTCTTTATTGTTTCTCCTATTAATTCTTCATTAGTAGTACCATCAGATTAATTTTACTTATAGTCATGTTATTCGTTGCTGAAAACCCTTCAATGATCCCCTGTTGCAAACTGAGTAGTTTAATTCCTTATCCTGGCATTCAAGACTTTCCACATTCTTGGATCCTTCTACCTATCTAGCTCTTCTTGTTCTCCTTTACTTATATACTTTATGACCCAACCAAAGTAGACTATTCGCTGCCGTTGCTAAATACCCTTATTTTACAAGCCTCTGTGTCCTTGTTCATACTGTTCCTTATGCCTTCAGTTACTATTTACTATTAAATTCTTCCCATCCAGTCATTTAAGGTCCAGCTTTAAAGTTGTTTATTCTGTGTTCCCTTAAGTCACTAGTGACCCCTTCTAATCTCTTTACTCGTATCTCTTGTGGATTTCCATATTATGGTTGCATGCATATGTGTCTTTTCCCCACCTTAAGTTCCATTAGATTAGAAGTCATTCAAATCAATTTAGGTATTCATTGAATGCCTACTTTGTGCCAGGCACTGTGCAGTTCTTCTGACTCTAAACTCTGTGCTCTTCCCACCATATCACTTTTTTAAAAAGTTTTTTGTTGCTGTCTTTTGTTTCTTCTTTGATTTATAGTTATCTCAAGTATCATTCCCTGACACTGTCCCAGAGAGTCTTTCTATATAATAGTATTTTTTTTTGAGAGGGAGAAAA